AGTGCAGGCGTGCAGCCAGAAGACGAAAGCTCAAATCCTCTGCGCACGACTAACATTAAAGTGACCTTGGACAGGTCGCTTGACCTTTCTCCTCAAATCCTTCAGCCGTAAAATGGGGACATAGGGCAGCCCTTCCAGGATCATCAAGAACAAAATGACAGAATTTCTGTAACTGTGCAGTGTCAAGTATAACATACTAACCAAATGGGAGCTGTTGTTAATACGAAGACAGAAAGATTAGGCCGGTACTAAGATTTCCTGTCTTCCACAGAGCTCTACATAAAGGACAGTAAAAACCCCTTGTTAGCTGTGAAGCGTGGTACGGCCGGAGGGAATGGAATGGTTAGCACGGCTGAGGTTAGCGGTGGGATCCATGGGCAGGGGTGGGGGGTGGTGGGAGAGCACGGCCACGGCCCTCAGCTCCCCAGACGCATTCCCATAGAAGTGTCTGAGGATGGCCAGATAACCTTGGCTGTCCTCTGGCCACTGAGCTGGCAAGTCCCCTGCAGGCCTTCTAGAGGCAGATGTCCTATTGGGAAACTGGAACCAGATGTACTCAAGATCTCAAAAGAAATTAATGGCAGTAAGACTCTGGGGTAAAAATATCCATGTGCACTGAGCTTGCTCACTCAGCTCCCTTCTATCTAAGGATCATTTAGGCTTAATTATAGAGTTCAGGCGTTCATTGGGTTTTTGATTAATTTTCTTTTCAGCTTGAGGAGTGTGAGAGTGTAGTGGGTCCGTGTGTGTGTGTGTGTGTGTGTGTGTGTGTTTACATCTTTCTTTGCAGCTCAGTTGGGAGCTGGCTCTGGTAATGCCTAATTGTGCCCTCCGTTCTAACAAGAATGTTCGAGGTGCCACCCGGAGCTCAGAGAGCCATTGTCTGTGCACTGCCTCTGCCCCGGGGGCTGCTTCTGCCACATCGAGGGATGGTGGCTGGCAGAGTCTCGCTCAGCTAGGACCCCAGCTGCGGGATGCACACTTTCCTTCTCTTTTCATGCTTATGGGCTGTTGAAGGGGCTCTGAGACCGGGAGAGCAGATTTCCTCCTCTACTAATGACCAGGGCTGTGCTGAGAGCTGCCAAGTGACAGCAGGTCCCCCAGCCTGCAGTCCCTAAGAGGCATTTTTGGGGACAGTCTCCCCGGGGAATGCAAGGTTCTCTGCCTAAGAAAACAAGGTTTGTCCTCTTATTTTTAATATGTCTACTCAGTGGCTGGTAGGGACTACATGGTTGTAGAGAGGAAAGTGACTTGCTTTCTCCCTTGCTTCCTTCTCTTTGGTGCCCTCCAGGCAGGGAATGCCTGGGGGGAGGGGGCATGCAGTGCAGTGTCTTAGTGTGGGATTTGGAGCCAAATGGCCCAGTGTGAATCCTAGCTCCTGACATTTCCCGTTTATGCACCCATGGATAAGTCACTTAGCCCCTCTGGATCTCAATTTATTGTCTCTAAAATGGGGACAGTAATATCAACAACAAAATTACTCCCTGCAAGACTGTCTGGGGACGAGAAGAGGCATATAGAATAAGCCTTCGGTAAAATACTCTATAAATCACAGTTCTCTTATTTTACTGCGCAGAATTGCTGCTTAGAACGTGATTTTGCCCTATGAGCTATCATCCCTAGCGCCAGGAGACAAGGGGTTGTAAAAAGCCCATGATATGGGAGGGGGCAAGAGGACTAGCCTCCAACCTTCCCATGTGCTGTGGACCAAAGCACTGAGCCAGGAATTCAAAATCCATGATGCAAAGGGTCCAGATTAAGAGTTCAGTCTCCAAACAGCTGTCATGGATAAGAGGGAGTCTGGAATATTCATTTTTTTTGACATAATGGTAATGAAGATTTCACCCTACTTTTTAAAGGGGGAATTCAGTTGTCTCTAGTGCTGGGAGGGTGAATTGTCCAGGGGCAGACACTGGAGGGGACTCTGGGTCTCAGGTAAGTGTGCGCATGCTGTGCTATGACATTTTAGAGACCCAGGCTCTTCTCTCTTGGCTCTGTTGCTAATTAGGTCTGTGACCCTGAATAGATGAGCTATTTCAACTGGACCTCAATTTCCTTGAGGCTGTGGAAGAAAAGATCTCAAAGGCGACTACATTTAAGATCTATTACCTGACAAAATGCTCTTTCCTACACGGAATTAAAAGCTCTTGCACCACCAGTCAATTACGTGTGTGTTCAGAATCCAAGTATAGCCCTGAGACCACCCAACTAAAACCTGATCAAGGCACTGAATGAGCTTCTCTAAACTGATGGCCCCTGGCATCAGACCTCAGGGGACTCTCAGGGGAAGAAAAGCCTGATGGGATGATGGGGTGACCCCAATAGATATTTCAAGGTGACTTCTCTCTTGCTGGAGAGCCTTTAGTTTGGCAATACCTTGACTAAGCTGAAAGGTAATGATGGAAGGATTCCAGAAAAGAAAAGGGATTGTCTCCTTGCAAAGCGACTTCAACTTCAACACTATCGGCTGTAGGGCAACGGAGCATTCTGCCGGCTCATTCCCAGACCGAGAGACCCACTGCATAGCTCGCAATAGTATCACAACAATAATCATAATGTATATTTGCCCAAGGGCTTTTGACTTTGATAAGCACTTTCCTCTCTATGTTTCTCATTTTGTTATTACATAATTTTCCAGAAAACTGGCCAGGTTGTTTCTTTTCAAACTCTGCAAAGTGCAAATTTTCAGCAGGAACAAGTCTAGCTGTGTATGCTGCCCCTTGCGTTCTACAGATCTGTCCTTGAAAAGTTACACTAAATGTAAATGTGATTGTGGAAGTCATGTCTTGTTTTAATGGAGGGGCAAGGGGAATTTAAAAACAGAAATCTTGTACAGGATTTTGTACAATGGATCTTGTACAATGGATTTTGTACAATTAAATCTTGTACAGGATTTTGTACAATTGTACAGGAAATGTACAGTTTCTCGTTAACCAGTTGTTTGTTGCAATTCTGGATTTTTAAATATCAGGTTTTCTTAGCATAGGGCCGCATGGGTTGGATTCCAGGATTGGTGTCCAGGCATTCTATAAAGGTGGTGTCTAATTCAATCAGAGAGACAGTTTGTTGTTTCAAACATCAGGGTGTAAAATAGGCAGTTTATTTCAGCCATGGAGCTCTTTGGAGCTCCCATAAAAAACAAGGAAGCATGGGAAGGACAGTGGAATCCAAATGTAACAACTGAATTATTTTTAAATGGAATGTCTCTAGGTCTTCTGTGAGTCACTGATGTGTCATTAATGTGCTGTTATAAACAGCTCAGCTTGCCGTCAATAACTCATCTATAAGAGAGTGGTTGGTGGTTGGAGTGTGAGGTTAACACTACAGGATTTTGAGCGGATCTGTTAAACCTCTCTTGCAAATAAGCACCATCCCCTGGGACTAGAACCTGAAAGAAATTAGACTTGGTTGTATTTTTAATAAAAATAATGAAAAAGTCCTCCTGTTTTTTCCTCTTCATTCTGAAACTCTGGTAGAAGATATCATTGGAGCCAACCATAGGACTGTAATAATTACTCTGAACTTCAACTCTTTCACCTCTGAAATTAGGCTGCCAGTATCTATCCATAAAATCTACAATGACATTGTGACAGTTTTACAATTATTTTGCTTGGGGGATTTTAAATGAAGAAACCTTGTGTGTGTATGTGTATGCATGTGTGTGTATGCATGTGTGTGTGTGTGTGTGTGTACCACAATTTGCATGACTGTGAATAAAAAGAAAGGCTCTTTTCTGGGTGATGTACGCTAGAACATTTTGCCAAAAATGGCAAAGACTGGAAACTCTTTGGGGCGCCTGGGTGGCTTAGTGGGTTAAAGCCTCTGCCTTTGGCTCAGGTCATGATCCCAGGGTCCTGGGATCGAGCCCCACATCGGGCTCTCTGCTCAGCGGGGAGCCTGCTTCCCCCCCCCCCTCTGCCTGCCTCTCTGCCTACTTGTGATCTCTGTCTGTCAAATAAATAAATAAAATCTAAGAAAAAAAAGATTAAAAAAAAAAGACTAGAAACTCTTTAAAATGTTTGCTGGTGGCCTGACTGAAGGAAATATGTTCTCTCATCCTTGTTAGTTGGATCTCAGCCATTGTACAACGTGAGCAGCTCATCAGATTTTCATTAAAGAGCTTTGAAGTTAAGCATTATGAGGCACTTCCTCACAAGAGCTCATGGAGTTAAAGTTGAGCTTTTGTGAACTTGAGCTAAAATAAACATATATAAAGTGTATGTCCCAGGCTACAAGGTCATGTGCAGGGCCTGCTGGCACCTGTGTCGGTCAGGCTGTCAGCATCCTGGCGTGTATGCCTGCAGGTGGGCGTGTACACAGGCGTATGCATTGTGTATGTTCACATCATTCAGAAGCTAAAAAGACCCCCAAAGAATGAAAATAGTCTTCTTATTTTTTAAAATGTTCTCGAAATCCTACGTGGATTCCATGGTTTATAAGCAATTATCTCTTTGTAAATTTAGAATTGGTAATGGGAACAGGATAAGCAGCTGTAAACAAAATCACAATTAACGTTTCACCAAAGAACATGGTGAAGTCCCCAATTATCATAGCTTGTGCAGAATACAGGAACTGTCTATCCAAATACTGTGATTAAGGATATTCGGAACTAAAATCTTAAAAAAAAAGATGTTCAGAACAATCAAATTTTGGAAAGAGGTGGGTAGATGGAACCATCGAGGCACCATCTGTCTATTCACATCAGAACTCTGGACAGTTCCCAGGAGGTGCTGCCCCACCCCCCTTCAGAATGGAGCAAATATCAATGCATCTCTAATTCTCTAGCTGTATCTTTCATTCCACGGAGTATGTTGAAGATCTGATTGTCTACTAATAAATTCATAGGTATTCCTTTGTAGTAGCAACTCGTTCCTCCTTCTCCCCATTCTCTTCACCCCCCGACTTCCATCCCACCCCCTTCCCCAAGCACCCTCTAGTCAGACAGCGGGACTGTCTGTCTTACAAACACCTGGTGTGGATGTTTTCACTCCCACTTCTAATTGGTTGGAAAGCAGCATTTGCCACAGGCACTGTTTAATTTTGTTTCCATCCCCTGCATCTCACAGGAAAGAAATGGTCAATAGTTCAGGTAAAAGAATCATCCTGGTCAGCTCCGAAATATGGCTACTTGCATGGTAATCACAGCAAGTCTGTCAAATCAGTGATTTCTTTATTCCTAAAAGGAAGGGACTTTTCCTAAGGATTATGGTTCTGCCGCCCCAGAAGCAGGCCTGCTCTTCGTAAGTGGCTGCAAAGGCTGGCAAACCAAGAGGTCTGCTTTGGCTCAGAAACTCAGTTTGGCTCCTGCCACCCCTGGCAACCTCACTGCATGTCATAGCGCCATGTGCTCTGCACACAGTCAGGCCAGTCTGCATCTACTTAGGAGGGATCACAACCAGAGGTGGTCCTCGCTTGGGCCTCCACATGAGGACCTGGGCATCGTTGGCATTGGGTTTCACTAGTGCATTAGGGGGGATGGGTTCCATTCGGCTCAGGATCCGGGGCTGCTCCTGCTGAGTCCTGCCCACCAGCCGGGCCCGTTGCCCCAAGAGCTGAAGAGGGTCCACCTCAATGTCCACCCTCATCCTCCACTTGATGGTCTGTAGAATGATCTTCTCCTTCGTGGTGGTATTCATGGCCACCAGCCAGGTAGTGAAACTTTGGTCCCTCTTGATCCTTGTGAGCAGTGGTACATTGCTGTCACTCACTGGCACTGCCCATGTCACACTTGGGTAGAAGTTGTCATTCATGCTGACGGAGAACCTGGAGATCTTGTTCGTGGGACCAACCAGGGTCACAGTTTCCGTGGTGTTTCCGTACCAAGGGTAGCTCACCCCATCTGAGTCACTGATGGCTTTTACTCTCCCTTCCCTCAAGTCAGGTAGTTCCCAGCTTGACCTGGCAAAGCAGAAGAGATGCACAAGAAAAGAAGAGGCTGAATGAATTTTTAAAAAACTGAGGAGATGTTCACCACTTACTAACATGGTCAACTTGGGCAAAATGGGAAGTTCAGAGGGGAATTCTGGTCAGAAAAATTCTATGCTGTGATGCTTCGGTATTAAATAGGGACAAATCAGAACAACACAAAGATTAAAAAGCTATACTAAACAAGTTAAATAAAGTCATAGCTGGTCCAACTGGAAATAGAAAGCCCAGAGAGGCATTTGTGAGCCCCATGGAGTCATCAACTCGTTGGGATGGTGGAATTGTAATCAGATGGTGGAATTGTCATCAGCTGGTTAGAGGTATTCCATTGCAAGAACCACTTTCTTGGGAAGTGTGCGTGTGTGTAAGGTTTGTTTGTTGGGAAGAGGTGGTGAAATCTGATGTACTTGGAAGGAAGTATCAGGTGGAAAGGAGGGCAAAAGGAGCAGAGTTAGGGGTTACACCAATTTCCCAAGAAATCATAGTAGTAGAATTTCTACTCAACAAAGAAGGTTGCTAAAATTCCAGTCATTGGCCAATCTAGCACTTGGCAAACAGATGTAGAAACTGATAACAAAAGGAAATCATGGTCACCTTGAAAACCATCTCAATGCAAATGTTGTGCCATAGGCTGGCATACGTAGTCTCTAATGTGCTGTTATCCTACTGACTTCAGGTCCAGCCTGGAAGTCCAATTTTTTAGCTTAGCAAACTCATCATTCTGGATACTTTGCTACTCCCCCTGGCTGCTCCTGATCTTAGCCCATGTCTCTCCCCTCTGCTCATCATCACTACCATTGCCGTCATCGCTGCCATCATCATCATCATCATCATCATCATCATCATCATCATCATCACAGCCGATACGCATTGAACACTTGCTCTATTCCAACCACTGTGCTAAGTACTTTAACTATGTTATTTCTCAGTTAACATTCAAAATATCCCAAAAGATACATGAATTTCTATTTCCATTTTATACACAAGAGGATGGAGGTTTAAATATGTTAAAGCCCACACCAAAGGTTCTACAGATTGTAAGAGGTGGGGCTGGGAATTATCTGCCTCCAGAGTCCATGCTTTTGACCACTCTATTTTACCACCTCCTGGTTCTGGAGAGAGCCAGAGTGGAGGGGACTCAGACTGTCTCGTGTGATTGCAGGTCCCAGAACAGCCCCAGGGAGCTGGACTGAATCCAAATAGAAGCAGAAGTTTAGTCAGCAGAGGCTGCCTATGCATTCTCCATATACCCACTGCTGGCACTGGGAGTGATTCTCAGTGACATTGCAGAAGAATTTAATAATTAAAAAAAACGAGATGCTCCACTCATCAGCTAAGACGTGGCTGCCTTGTTTGATAGAAAATTCTTCCTCTTATGAAGGGACAGAAGATCCTCCAGGGATTTATACAAATGGCTTAAGAGAGAGTGGCATTGTCAAGTTGAGGCTAAAAGGTCTCAGCATCCTTTACCGTCGCACAGAGACTGAGCAGCACTAATTGCTGTCGCTGGCTGGTCCCCACAGCACCCCTGCGCTGGTCAGCCCCCGTCGGAAGAGAAGGGAAGGCGGGGCTGCCTGGGGAGGAGGTGGGTCCACCACTGCAAGAACCTTTTCTCTCATCTCCATGCCCCTGGTAACTGCTGGGATTAACTGCAGTGTGTCATGACTGGCAGAAATGAAGAAGAGGAAATGACCTCAAGAAAGTCAGAGGGAGCCCACTTTGCTGTACACGCTCACTGTAGCTGCTTCGATGAGTAGCTCCCCAATAATGCTACAGCCATGTCTCACTGTACAGAGGGACGTCAGTGTTGTTTGAGTGGGATGTGACCATATACGCGCCAGAGGTCAGGTGAGACCCAATCTGCTTGTTGGGTTTATGAAATCAGCTTCTTGCCCCCAGCTGAAGTGTGGGGATGATAATTAAGTCACCAGGCATTTACTTTCTGTGTTGCCTCAACTCTGTTCTCCATTCAGGTGGCAGTAACCAGGCCTGCTTTGGGTTCCTTTGGTTCCTTTGTGGGACGGGAGGACAAGCATTCTTGGCAGTACCAAATTGTACTTGTTCTTCCATCTTGGATACTGTGCCAACTGTGGCATATTGGTTGGGGAATTTTTCATTCTGGTGTGTTCTTGGTTTTTGATTCTGGTATAACACTGTCCTTCTCAGGACTGGCTATCTTGCTGGTCGATTAAGAAACTTTGTCCATAGAGTCTTTACAGTTCCTATTTTTGGCCTTACCTTCCTGCCTAGAGCTATGGGAGCAGACTTAAGCCCAGGGTTCTAGACGTCAGTCATGTGGGAAATTTACAAAGCTTAGTTTGGTCCCAGATTTTCTGCAAACAGAGATAATACAGTAAAGTTGCACTCTTGTGCCTGTCTTGGCGGAGAAGGAAGATACCCTTTTCTTGGACAATTCTGTGGAATAGAGAAGTAAAACAAGTTTCTTATTCATCACATCAAAACAAGGTACCTGGCTGAGTGTAGCCAGTGGGCAAGGTGACCTGACCTTGGGAGGCTGTGTTTCAGTCCATTCACATTGCTGTGACTTCTGACACTGCTCTATCGGAAATCCTTTGGGTCTGAGGCATGTTCTCTCCCACAGCTCCAGGGACTGAAGGGCTCCATCATTAAGGGAAGGTTTGATTTTGGAAGTAGCCAAAATTCATTATGATGTAAGTCTAGTGAATAGGTTTCTTTTTTGCAAAAATATCATATTTTTATTTCTTTTATGAAAAATAGGTACTAATGTACATTCTAAGGTAGTGGCACTTTTTTTTTCCTCCAAAAGAGTTATGCCTATACAGTGCATGACTGGTTTATGTAGCTGATAAACTGGCTTTGGTAATAGTATTCTTTTCTTTTCTTTTCTTTTCTTTTCTTTTCTTTTCTTTACTTTTCTTTTCAAGATTTATTTATCTGACAGAGAGAGAGAGAGAGAGAGAGACAGAGAGAGAGCAAGAGCATAAGCAGGGGGATGGCAGGCAGAGGGAGAGGGGGAAGCAGGCTCCCCACAGAGCAGGAGGAGCCTGATGTGAGACTCAATCCCAGGACCCTGGGATTATGATCTGAGCCGAAGGCTTAAACACTGAGCCACCCAGGTGCCCTGGTAATGGTTTTCAAAGAAGTCCCTGATAAACTCCAAGAGTGATAGGACCCTGGAGTCACTCTCTGACCATTTAAGAGGACTACTTTGAAGTGCTGGAGGCACTTCAAATTCCACATGGCCCAAAGTGATCATGCCGCATCGGCTCTCTGCTCAGTGGGGAGCCTGCTTCCTCCTCTCTCTCTGCCTGCCTCTCTGCCTACTTGGGATCTTTGTCTGTCAAATAAATAGATAAAATCTTTAAAAAAATGAATGAACTGGTGAATATAAATGTATTTAGTGACAGTCACTAAATTATATACCATATATATATACTAAATTGTGTATCATATATATGCCATATATATATATACACACACACACACACACACCATATAATATGGCATATAATTATACCATATAAATGGTAAAATTATATACCATTATATATATAATGGTATATAATTGCCATTATATACCTACATACAAAAGTGAATGACACAGACTCGGAGTGATAAGGATGTTGGAGACATGGACATCCATGCAGGCTATAGGGGGAGAGCTTTGCAGAGGAAATGGGTATGAAATATGGGATCAAAGAAAGGCACACTCCAGTGGGAGGTTCTACCATGGGCAAACATGTGGCCTTAAGCATGAACATGGAGTGTCCAGGAAACAGAAGGACCACCTAGGAAGAGTAGAGACAACGCTGGGTGGACAGTGCAGAGTCAGCCTGTGAAGTAGCCTTTAGTAATGGGCTTAGGCACTGGGCTTCATTCCAGAGGTGGTAGGACTTTTGAGCAGGGGATAATGTGCCAGGAAGTAGGGTGATGTAAGAAGGAGAATTAGAGGGCCATCAGGAGGGAACCTGGATGTTTAGGAGCTTTTGCAACATTGTAGGTGATCTTTAATGAGGCTTCCGTCTAGGCTGGAAGGAACGGAGGGGAGGGGCAGATACTCTATGGCTTGGTAACTGCCTGTCACAGACAAAAAGAAGGGATAAAGTAAAACACTCAGAGGAGCCACACACAGTTGACATGTGTGTGTATGTGTGTAAAGTCATTCTCAGAAGTAACAAGGTGTGGTCCCACTACCTCTGATATCCCACACCCATCCCCGGACCCACCCACAGTTGTATTTCAGGGCGCAAAGTCCTGACTCCTCCATGAGGGAGTGAAGATGGAGTCACGTTTGTCTTTGCATCTTTGCCCGGAACACAGTGGCTGACACATCGAGCACACGCATGACTCCTGTTTCCCCGTGTGTCTCATGAGCTCTTCCTCGCCATCCCTTGCTGATTCTGCTTCATTTCTCAACCTTTTACCCTTGGAAAGTGCCAGGTCTCAGTTTTCGGTTCTCTTCTCCTTTCTATCTACTCACGTTCCCTTGGTGAATCCAGTCCCACAGCTAAGTACCATCTACATCCTGACAACTTCCAAAGGTCTATCTCCAATCTGGATTGCTTCCCTGAGCTCTGGATCCAAAGACCCAACTGCCCACCTGCCAACAACTTAGGAGTCACTCTTGACCACACTCTCACATTCCACGTACTATCAGCAAATCCTGTTGATGTCATCAAAATCTATCCAGAATTCAACTCCTGTCCATCTATCACCTCCATTGCCCTACCCTGATCCACGCTAGAGCTGTTCCTCCTGGACTGCTGCCCTAGCCTCCTGACCAGTCTCCTCCTTGCTAAAACCTCTGCTCTGCTGCCCTGGTCTATTTTCAGCATGGTAGTCTCAGTGATCTTGTGAAACAAATGTGAAATTATGTCATTCCTCTACCCAAAATGATTCCATGGCTCCTAAGCCACTCAGGAAAAGCCCAAGTTCTTGAAAGAACCTATGTGGCCCTACATGATCTGGCTCTCCATTTCCTTTTGGCTATC